AGATACTCATTTCGAACTTTTGGGAAGTATGATGTGGGTGCATGCGGTTAGAGGACGGTACTCCCGCAAGTACTATTTCGATTGAATCTAGGCGGAATAAGGGTCAGATACTCACTCCCGCAAGTACTGTTTCGATTGAATCTAGACGGAATAAAGGTCAGATACTCATTTCGAACGTTGGGAAGTATGACGTGAGTGCATGCGCGCTCTTAGAGGACGGAGAACGAGTTGGGATTGGGATGCGAGTTGGGATTGGGATGGACCCTTGATGGGATGGGATGAAAGTCGGTGGTGGCATCAACGTGCACGGAATACATGAAGGGTCCATCCCGATCCCAATCCCAACTCGTTCTCAGCCCTCTTAAGCGCATGCCCTCTAAAGGCGTATCTGACCTGTTGTTTCGGCTAGATTCAGTAGCCGAAATAGTACTCGCCTGGATGAGTATGTATGTCCACGTGCACTCATCTCTTCTTTATTCATGAAATGATGGTCATCTACGTGCAGTCATCCATACTCGCAGGATGAGTACACGTGGATGTATTCTATTCACCCCTCTTTAGTAGTATTCTTACTGAATCTAGCCGAAATAGAAGGTCAGATACGTCTTTTGGAAGTTGGGAAGTATCACACTCGCAGAATGAGTACACGTGGAGGAGTACACGTGGAGGTCGGGATTGACAAGAGGTCGGGGTTTCGAAGCGAGGTCCACGTGTACACGTGGATGAGGAAGAAGAGTACCAGATTAGTGGGGGCAGCAATGCAAATGCGATTTTTTGCTAAGGGCATCAATGTATATATCGTCGAACAGAAGTGCCAACGGTAAACCCTAGGGGCAGAGAGGGACAAGAGGGAGAAGAGGACAACAAACGAGGGGCTGTGACAGATTGTGTCGTCCAAGTTTCATCAACTCATCATATGACACACGGGGGTGGGGGCAGCCTCCGCGCAACCGACATCCACGTGGGCGGCCTTGTACGCAAGAGGAGGTTCTGAACAGGAGGAGTCTTGTAAGGAAGAAGATTAAAAAAATGAATTGATATTCTTTTTGTTTTTCTTTTCTTTCGCTTTTGCGCTCTGATAACTTTGTGACTATATATATATATATCGGGTTATCGTTTTGCAGGCAAGTGTTTTGACATCCTGGTTGGCTTGGTTGTTTCCCGTTGTTTGGCCCTTTGAGCGCGGGGCGGTGCTGTATGTGGGAATCGCCATCCGGGATTGTCTTCTCCTTCTTTTTGGTTGTCACATTGTGGATTGGAGCCTTTTTTTGTTTTGCTGATTTTGTCTGTACCTCGGTTGGTTTGGTCCCGTTGTTCGGGCTATCTTATGGGCGTGGCTGTGCTTTCATGTGAGACCAGCCATTCGGGGTTTTGGCATCCTGGTTGGTTGTTTCCCGTTGTTCGGCCCTTTGAGAGGCGGGGCGGTGCCTGTATGTGGGAATCGTCATCCAGGATTGTCTTCTCTTTTTTTCTTGGTTGTCACACTGTGGATCGTCGCTTTTTTATGTCTTGTCCTGGGTGGTCTTGTCCCGTTGTTTGGCCTTTGACGGAGCGGGCGGTGCTTGCATGTGGGACTTGTCATCTGGGATCTGTCTTGTTTCCCTCTGTTCTATTTGTTTCATTTGGCTGTTCCCTTCCTCTCTTCTTTGCCTCTTTGCCTTTTGGCTGTGTGCAAGTGGGTCGATATGACACACGGGGGTGGGGGCAGCCGCCGCTCAACCTACATCCACGTGGGCGGCCTTGTACGCAAGAGGTTCTGAACAGGGGGAGTTGTAAGGAAGAAGATTAAAAACGAATTATTATTATTATTTTTTTTTTTGGTTTTTTCGCTTAGGCGCTCTGATATCATGTGACAATATATATTGTGACGATATATGTATATGTATATATACACTACCGTCTTCCCCTGAACATAACGCACCCTCATAATGAATGAATGTATACAAGGTACGTTTCCGGTCCAGTACAGCCATGATAAGGCTGCGTTGTGTTCGGGGGGAAAGGTGGGTAGGTGGGCGAGATTTTTATGGCGGGATTGTTTGGCAGTAGCCCCCATTTTTGGCGGGAAGTTTTTCGCGGGATTGCTTGGCGGGACCCTTCCCCAAATTGGCGGGAATTCTTTTGGCGGAATTGCTTCCCTTTTTTTTTTTTTTTTTTTTGTCGGCGGGATTGCTTGGCGGGGGGACTTTTGGCAGCAGTTCTTTTGGCGGGGCGGCCTTTATTTCGCGGGGTGTTTTCGGGAAATGGTCCAAATTAAAAAAAAAAATAATAATAATAATGAAATTGCAGTCTTATGCATCCCGATTGAGGGGATCGCATCAGGCTCTCACAAATAAGACTTGCGGGATGAATGAGACTGCATTTTTTTTATTTATTTTTTTTGGACCATTTCCCGATTTATGCGTGTCCTCCTTGTGCAGGGGTCATTTGCTAGTCTACCCTTCTCTGACCCTCTTGCTAACTTCCCGTTCTGTCCCTGTCCGTACCCGTTCATTACTATTTTTTGCCCTGTCCCAAGAAATGTTGAGGTTTGCACGACTTGGAACAATTTCAGCATCCACCATTAACTCAAATTTGCAACTTTATTTTGAATTTTGATGCAAATTGCAATTGATAGAAAACTTTTCACACCAAACTTCACACCAAACTTGTACCAGAGATTCACACACTGCCACACTCGAGGAAGACGAGAGAAAAAAACGTGTCCGCTTGGGCACCTGGCTGCGTTGAGCAGTCTGCCTGCAGCAATCGGTATCGTTCCAATCTTAACGGATGTTTTAACGGATGTCCCGAAGAAGAACTCAGACGGCGATTTTGGCTGGCCTTGGGTATATCTGGCAGTAGAATTGTAAGAACACTACATTCTGGAAGCCTTAGGTTAGGACACACTCACACCAGGACCTTTTTCAGGGGGGGTGTTGGTCGCAAAAAAAATCAATCAAATTGCTGCTGCTACCAGCGTCATGGTTCCGAGTGTCCATCGTTGTATACACCAAGTGCAATGTTTCTTAATCTATGTTTTCTTTTCGAAGTCGAATAGCCTCCCATATAAAAAACATAGCTATAATATTAGACAAAATTTGAGAAAAGAGAAGAATAGGATCTAAGCGCCATCCTTGAAATATCAAAATTCCTCCACAAAGTAATCCCATGGATGAAAAAATTAAATCATAATCTCTTGAAATAGAAGGTAAATATATTCTTATAAAGTAGAGAACAATTGCTACAATTAATGATAGTATCCCTAAAAAAATATTATTTAAAGAAGGGGCTATAAATTGATAAGTTTTTAAAGCATCATATTGAATACGATTTCTTAAATTTCTAGTAAGTTGCACGAAAAAAAAAWTACTTATTATCAATCCAATAACCAGACTAATTGCAAAAGGATTATCACTTACAGTGTAATCAGTTAGGGGATTCTGCAGACTGTTGAGGGTTGAGCCTCCTGATGAGTCGGTGAAACTCCGACGAAACAGTTTGTCACAGCCCCTCGTTTGTTGTCCTCTTCTCCCTCTCACTCTCTGCCTCTACGGTTTACCGGGCAGCTCTGTTTGACTATATATATGTTGTAATCTATACCAGTCTTCATCTAGGAACAGCATGATGATTAGCCTCTTTTCTTCATTTCCTAATATAGCTTGGAGGTCATCCTAGTCGCCGGCGTGCTCATTTTCCTCTACTTCGTCTGTGTGCCACTTGGAAAATGAGAGCTTTTTTTGAGTCAAATGTGAGGGACAAGATTGTATGAGCATGCTATAAACCACCAGTTCACACTAATCTGAGTTGTTGAAGCTACGGAATACAATGTATGGTCATTATGGCTGTATTTGGGGCAATGTTTAGTCTAGATACAGCAATAATGACCGTACATTGCATTTGTGTGAAGACGGTACCTTCCAAGGCTCACGAGCCTGCAAGTCCGCCTTTTCGATGTGTCCTACGGCTATAGCTACGAGCCAAGGCTCGAATCGAAAAGCTCTTACGGTATATACCACTAAGATCTGTACTCTGCTGCCGCCGCAGAACTGGTGGTCCTTTTTGATGTGGCCTGCTGCTTTAGCTACTGCCTCAGGGCCTATTCGGAAATCTGTCATCCCCTCCCCCCCCACACCCGCCCCCCTTTTAAATCTCGGGGTTGTCCACTGGGGGTGCTGTGAGGCAGTGTGAGATGTTCATTGAACCTTGTCATTTAGAAGAAGGAGAAGTCGTGACAAGGTTTCCATAGGTGAATCGAAAAGTCGAAAAGCTCTTACCACGTAGACACCGGTAAGAGCTGTACTCCGCTTTGGGTGAACTGGCGGCTTAAGCGACTGCAAAGAGGGGTTGTAAAATGGGACATAGAGTAGAGGAGATTGAAATGGTGGTGATGTAACTCCGCAGCGAACCCGACGAGACCCGTGTGTGAAGCCTGCCTCGCTCTCCTTTTAATTTATTTTTTTTGGGTGGGGTCCTTCACCCTCTTCCATTCTAAAACCAGCCCCTGCTTCCTCGTTCATCGCAAAACCATTCGCATCTTTCGCACAGCGACAGTGGAAGGACATACGTATCTTGTGTCCTTTGTTACCTCTTCTCCCTTTGTTCTCTCTCCTCTCCTTTTTTTCTTTTTTCTTTTCCCTCCACTTCCCTCTCGTCTCCTGTTTTCTCTCACTTTCCCTTGGCCCTTCACCGTGAGGCTTTCCCCTTCGCCAATTCTTGACAAGGCGAGTAACCGATTGCAAACTCGTGACACATCCTCGAGACGGAGTTGAGGGAGGAGAAACAGTCCTCCCCCCCGCCCCCCGGCTCCCCCGCCTCGGCCCCCTGTCCCCCCGCCCCCGCGCCCCCCAGCCCCACTTTTCCCATTTCCTCCCCCTTCCGCCTTATTGCGTACATGAATTGTGACCCGGCTGGTAGTCCTGCCGATTCAATCGAAGTGAGTGTCTGCCAAGGGATTGCGCCTGACCTGCTGTGTGTGATTGCTGTGCGTCTGTTGTCTGTCTGTGGATGTACATGAACAGTGTGACTGGGTTGGCCTCGGCGGTATCAGCTTGAACGAGGGGAGGCACATCGAGGTTTTGTGTGGGGCTTGTGTGCTCGATCTCACGGAAGGGGTGCAGCAAGTAACATCGCTTCTCGCAGGATTCTGAAGAGGGGGCACCATGGCGAGACGTGCGTTGATGGAACAGGATCTGAGCAAACTGGACGTAGAAACGCTCCACCCTTTGTCGCCAGAAGTCATCAGTCGCCAAGCCACAATTAACATCGGTACGATTGGACACGTGGCGCATGGAAAATCGACAGTCGTGAAGGCGATCTCAGGTGTGCAAACTGTCCGCTTCAAGAATGAGCTTGAACGCAACATTACGATCAAGCTTGGGTACGCGAATGCGAAAATTTACAAGTGTGAGGACGATCGATGCCCCAGGCCTTCCTGCTACAAAGCGTACGGAAGTGCAAAGGAAGATTGCCCGCCCTGTGACGTTCCTGGGTTCGAAAACAAGAGGATGAAGCTTCTTCGGCACGTGTCGTTCGTCGACTGTCCCGGCCACGATATTCTTATGGCCACGATGCTCAACGGTGCTGCTATTATGGATGGGGCGCTGCTGCTCATTGCGGGTAACGAGAGCTGTCCGCAGCCGCAGACGTCAGAGCATCTGGCCGCCGTGGAAATCATGCGACTGAAGCACATCATCATTCTTCAGAACAAAGTCGACCTCATTCAGGAGAGCGTTGCGCTCAACCAACACGATTCCATCAAGAAGTTTATCCAAGGAACGATTGCTGAATCGGCTCCTGTGGTCCCGATCTCCGCGCAGCTGAAGTACAACATCGATGTCGTCTGCGAGTATATCGTCAATAAGGTGCCTGTGCCCATCAGAGACTTCGTGTCGCCGCCAAATATGATTGTGATCCGTTCATTTGACGTCAACAAACCCGGCGCAGAGGTCGACGATATCAAGGGAGGTGTTGCGGGAGGGAGTATCTTGCGAGGAGTGTTGAGGGTGGGTCAGGACATTGAGGTCCGGCCGGGAATTGTCTCCAAGGATTCCGAAGGGAAGATCAAGTGTTTGCCGATCTACTCGCGAATCATATCGCTCTTCGCTGAGCAGAACGAGCTGCAGTTCGCAGTGCCAGGGGGGCTCATCGGCGTGGGGACCACCATCGATCCAACGTTGACCCGAGCTGACCGACTCGTGGGGCAGGTGCTTGGCGAGGTCGGCAAACTGCCGGACGTCTTCATAGAGCTGGAGGTTAACTTCTTCCTTCTCCGTCGCCTTCTCGGCGTAAGGACAAAGGGCACGGAGAAGCAAGGGAAGGTCGCAAAACTGGCCAAGGCGGAGATTCTGATGCTGAACATTGGTTCTATGTGTACAGGCGCGCGCGTGGTTGCCGTGAAAAATGACCTGGCGAAATTGCAGTTGACATCGCCCGTCTGCACGAAGCAGGGGGAAAAGATTGCCCTCAGCAGAAGGGTAGAGAAGCATTGGCGACTGATTGGTTGGGGGCAGATCCAAGCGGGGCTCAGGCTCGATGTGCCAAGCACGTTTTCGAAGTAGGGGGCTAGCAATAGCAAGGGAAGAATTGTTGTTGGGGTCTTGTCTGCTGTTTAGGAAATCAGTCATCATCGATTCATCGCGAGTTTTGTGGGAGATGGAGAGAGAGAAGTGGCAGGAGAGAGAGGAGAAAGAGGAGAGAGAGGAGAAAGAGGAGAGAGAGAAGAGTTCGAGCCATGTGGTGACACGGTGGTCACACAACAAAATGATGCTGGCATGTGTGTTTTTCATTCTTACGATGTTGTTGGAGAGAGTGGCGGGGCATTGGTCTGCGACTGGGTGCATGTTTCATTTTTCCTATTTTGGTAAAAGAGAGTGGGAAGGGGTTCTTCTGCACGTGTGCAGTTTTGAAAATCTCAATAATGCACCTTTGTTTCTCCACGAGTACGGAAAAAAAAAAATAAAAAAAATGCAGATTGGCCAACGGTGAGACAGAAAAGATGGGGAAACGAGGAGGACAATCCAAAGGAAGAACTGATAAAAGAAGGCAACCCCCAGGACCCCCCTCTTGCCCAACACCACCCCGCTACCCCTCCCCCCACCCCCTTCCCCAGAAAAAAAAGGGTTACATGAAAATTGAGCAGCAGTCAGTCGTATTCATGATCTGTATGCAAAAACAAGTCCATTGAAAAAAAGAAAAAAGAAAAAGAAAATAATAAGAATACTAGGCTACCAGCCGGGCCGCCCGGGTCCCGGGTGGCCAGCCCGTGCAAGGACCAGGGAAGGTCCCCAAAAAAAAAAAAAAAAAACAGTTCCAAAAAATCCGAAAAAAAACTATGTTATTTAGAAAAATAAACTGAACAACTGTTGCCCCAAGGTCACATCGAAATTCTTCACCAAATTTAGAATGAAATGTAATTTTATTTATTTTTTACTTTTAAATTTTTATGTATTTTTTGGCCCGGCCGGGCAAGTGACCACGGGCCACTCTGGTAGCCTACTAATAATAATAATATTATAATAATTAAAAAAAACAAGTTCATTGCGATTGGGGTGGGAATGATTTTCGTTTTTGCCGTTTTCAGTAACCTACCACCTGTGTCTTCCCCCTGTACGTCAGATGGGGGGTCTGTCGTATGGCCGTTCGTACTAAGGCCGTACTATAGTGCACAGGGTGACCAAAAATAAGTAAAAAAAAAAAAAAAAAAAGGGTGTTGTAGAGCACAGAAAGGCTGTGCAACCCCATAATTTTTTATTTTTGTTTTGGTTCGTTCTAGCCTGTGTAGCAGGCCGAACATGTTCTAAGCTTCGCTGAGCGCCTCCCGAACATGGTCGGGTGTTCGGTCGAACGCGTCCTGAACGTGGTAAGTCGAACATATTACAAAAAAAAAAAACAATTTTGATTTTTTACTTTTTTTTTTGGTTTTTGATTTTTAACTCAAGTTTGACTACGAAGTTGAGCATGCCTCCCAGGCAAAAGTTGTTTGTATTATTATTTTGCATAACTTTTTTTTTTTCATATTTTTTCTGAGAATTGGTTGTTTTAATATTTTTTATGTTCGCATTCGGAGGGTTTGCGTTCGGTCGCTAACATTTCGGTGCGGTCACCAAACCCGAACACGATGCTACACGGGTTCTAGCACAGAATGCTCTTCAACCCCATCATTTTGTATTTTTGTTTTGGCTCATTCTTTTTTTCTTTTTTTTTTATAGGAAACATTAAAACGAGGGGAAAAAATAGCTTACAGGATGTAATCACCGAACGTAGATTGTGGACGAACAGTCACTCTACGGTGAGGGGAAGAACATAAAAATTGAGGAATGGAAGACTTGAGTACAACGAAGGGGACCCCCAGGAAGCAGCCCCGCATACTCTAGTTTTGTATTGAGTTTTTCTGAGTCCTTTTGTATTGTGCGTGTGTGCTGACCATGGAGTGCGTATGGGCATTGCCACACCAGACAGGAAACGAAAAACAATGCGAGTGCATCTTCCTGCAGAAGGTGGGCTGAATTCATCAGCTACTAGTCATAGCAACGGATGTTTTTTGCCACCTTCTATGACTAGAAACATGTGCATTGTTTTTTGTTTCGCGACTTGTGTGGTGAGGTCATCTATGTATGTATGTTGTTTCCTCTCTTGGCCACCTTTCACAAAATGATCTCCCTTTTTTTTTTTTTTGCCTTTCACTACCTCCCTATAGAGGGGACCCCTCCCCGGCCACAACATGATCTATTTTGGGTAAAATTGCAACTGTACCCCTCTTAAAGATGGGAATACCCGCGGTACCCAGTCCCAGCGCCCAACTTGCATCTATACCGGGACCCTGTTCAACATTGCATGGTACCCGACTTTTCCCCTGCGTGAAATTGTAGGTATACCCAGTCCGTGGGCCGTCAGTTCCGGGCAACGAAATTATGCCCATGCCCACAAACGGGCTGGCGAAATTACGGGTGTACCCACAGCCAGGGGCGGGCATTGGATGGCAGACCACAAAATTATGCACATGCCCAGCACGTGGACCGTTGTGGCCCAGCGGCTGCTGGGTATGAGCATAATTTCAGCGATCCGGTAGTAGGGTATATGAATAATTTGGCCAGTCCACCTCTTTTTTTTTTTTTTTTTTTTTTTTTCCCTCTTTTGTTTTATGGAAACAAGGCTCCAATCTATTCGTGGGGAGCAGCACGTGCTGGGAACCGGGCCCAGCATCCCATATAGAAAATTACATAGGATTTTGAAAATTTTGAAGGAATTAAGATACAGGGCCATTACCCGGCTATGACTAAGAAAAGTTGGAGCTTCAGAGAAAATTGCTACAACAAACTACAGGAATAGACAAAGTTGAAAATTAAGAAAACGACTTATAAACCCCCCATCAATCCTCTTTACCTCCCTCCGGCAAGACTTACTGCAGCAGAGCCACCATCTCCACTGCTGCTGTACCCTATTTCCATCCCACCAGCAAGCCCCCTCACTAGTAGGACGCTTGTTATCCCACCATCTACTTATCTCACTCACCCCTTTTTTTGAGAAAGTCAGGAAAATTTCAAGAAGTTTAGGAAAGAAAAATTAGAGAAACGAAAACCAGAGCTGAAGCCACCACCAGTCCAAACCAAACCCGCACTACAGGCGAGAAACCGTCACTCAAGCTTTCAGTCCTCATACCAGAAGTCGCCAATTCTCACACCCTCCATGCTAGGGTTACAAGGCAACACAAACTGCCCCAGCACTGAACTAACTGTTTTCTGACGGACAGGAAGTGTCTTCCTCCCTCGACAACTTCCTTAGCTGCCAAACCCCCTACCGGGTTACAGGGACATTGCCCCAGCATCAGCTACGTCGAAAGAGGTGGTTATGCTATCCACCCTTGGCATAACTCCAATGGCCTCAGGCTCCTCCCCATGGTCACAGAGCCACTGCTCCAGCACCGGCCACTGTCGCCCCACCCCGTCCTTCTAGTAGACTTACCACCCTGAGCCACCCTTCCCCAACTGCGTGAACCCACCCAGAATTTCTTCCAAACCGTGCTTCCGATTTTCACCCTCCATTTGAAAAAAACAAAAGGACGAAGGACAAGAACTAGAACCACTAACAATCCAACTCCTACCCTCGCCACAGATGAAGGACACGCCGACCAAGCTTTCAGTCCTCGTACCAGAAGTCATCAGATCTCATACCCCCCCGTTAGGGTTACAAGGCAACACAAACTGCCCCAGTACCGATCTAGCTCATTCTGACGGACCGAGAGTGCCTTCCCCCCTCGACACCTCTCTTGACTGTATGGCCCCTCAAAAGGTCACAGGGTCACCACCCCGGCAACAGCTACGTCGGGCGAGATGGTTATGCGTTCCACCCTCGGCATAACTTCAATGGCCTCAGGCTCCCCCTGGTCACAGAGCAAATGCTCCAGCACGGGCCACCCCACCCTTCTAGTTAGACTTACCACTCTGAACCGCCGATCCCTCTTCTGCTAAGTGAGCCCCCCACGTCCCACCTACCTCTAATTCGACCTCCCCCCTTTTTATTTGCAAAACCGCACTAAGACTAATTACTCGAGAAAAAACTGTTTGGAAAATTTTTCAATGGCATTGAATTCAGAAGTCGATCAAGATGAAGATGAGATTGAAGATAAGATCTGATAAGGATTGAGAGTCCAAATAGGAAGACAAAATAGGGAATTGATTCTGATGTCCAAAAGGACTTTCGACTCTGATTCCCAGAACCCCAAGGTTCGGAATTGGTATGCCCATAATTTTGCCTGGGTATGTCCATAATTTGTGCATTCCGGCAGTTGGTTATAACTACAATTTGGCGTACCAACCTGGGTCCACCTCTGTCCTGGGCCTGCAAAATAATTTCCCGTATAGGTGCAAATTGGCACTGGGACTGGGTATAGCGGGTATTCCCATCTTTAAGAGGGGTACAGATGCAATTTTCCCTTTTTTTTTCTTTCTTTTTTTTCCCTTGCCGCAACATCATCCGGTACCGAGATTTGATCAATTGTCTGCCTCTCATATTACCTGGGGGCCAAGTCCCACAAGCAGCATTCAGTTTGCTCAACGCCCGAATCTGGACGTGTTTGTGGAGACGTGCGGTTGAGGAAACACAACGTGATTTTCTGCACATCTCCACAAACACGTCCAGATTCTTCCGTTGAGGAAACTGAGGACTTGGGCCCTGGCATAGAAGGGGAACAGGTGGCAGTGAAGAAGCTAGTGCGTTTGTTTTTTTTTCTAATGTACATGTATGATTCTGTCAAAATGACAGGCATTCATCGAGAAATGGTCCAAAGACAAGGCTGTTTGGCCGGGCACAAGGGCCGGCCACGCCTGGCCGGAAGGGCGCCCGGCCGCCAGACTATGCAGATGCCCCAGGTGGGCTGCCAGGCAGATGCTTCTCCTTTGGCAACGGGGGCTCTTTTCAGACCCAGTGGCCAACGTGGTGAAGTGGGCGCAGCTCTGAGAGCTGCAACGGGGTTCCAAAAAGAATCTCCCGCTATTTTGGTCGCTTGGGGAGGCTGAGCCTGTTTGTGAAGAAGTGACGAAGATTCGTAAGATTCTGAACATGACATTGCAAATAATTCTGTTTTGACTGCTGAGTCTGTTCAAGTCTGTTTTCAGTCTGCTTCAGTCTGTACGTCCATTAGAGTCTGTCTGATTTTGTATTGAGTCTGTTTTGAGTCTTTTCTGAGTTTGTTTTGAGTCTGTTTTGAGTATGTTCTGAGTCTGTTATGGGCCTGTTTGAGTCTGTTTAAGTCTGTCTGATTTTGTTTTGAGTTTTTTTCTGTCTGTTTTGAGTCTGTATTCAGTCTGTCTAGGTCTTTTCTGAGTCTGTTATGGGACTGTTTGAGTCTCGTTGAGTCTGTTTGAGTCGGTTTTGAGTCTGTTTGGAGTCTCTTTTGAGTCTGTGTGTCCGTTTG